CCTCAGCGGTCTCGATTCTCGATTCTCAACCTTAGCAGTCTCGATTCTCGGTTTTCGATCTCTTGCGGTCTCGATTCTCAGTTTTCGACCTCAGCGGTCTCGATTCTCGATTTTCGACCTCAGCGGTCTCGACTCTCGGTTCTCGACCTCTTGCGGTCTCGATTCTTGATTTTCGACCTCAGCGGTCTCGACCCTCAGTTTTTGACCTCAGCGGTCTCGACTCTCGGTTTTCGACCTCTTGCGGTCTCGATTCTCGGTTTTCGACCTCAACGATCTCGACTCTCGGTTTTCGACCTCAGCGGTCTCTCAACTCGCGGTTTTCGACCTCAATGGTCTCGACTCTCGGTTTTCGACCTCTTGCAGTCTCGATTCTCGGTTTTCAACCTCAACGGTCTCGACTCTCGGTTTTCGACCTCTTGCGGTCTCGATTCTCGGTTTTCAACCTCAAACGGTCTCGACTCTCGGTTTTCGACCTCAGCGGTCTCGATTCTCGGTTTTCGACCTCTTGCGGTCTCGATTCTCGATTTTCGACCTCAGCGGTCTTGATTCTCAATTTTCGACCTCAGCGGTCTCGACTCTCGGTTCTCGACCTCAGCAGTCTCGATTCTCGGTTTTCGACCTCTTGCGGTCTCGATTCTTGATTTTTTACCTCAGCGGTCTCGATTCTCGATTTTCGACCTCAGCGGTCTCGACTCTCGGTTCTCGACCTCTTGCGGTCTCGATCGATTTTCGACCTCTTGCGGTCTCGATTCTCGGTTTTCGACCTTAGCGGTCTCGATTTTCGACCTCAGCGGTCTCGACTCTCGGTTCTCGACCTCAGCGGTCTCGATTCTCGGTTTTCGACCTCTTGCGGTCTTGATTCTCGATTTTCGACCTCAGCGGTCTCGACTCTCGGTTCTCGACCTCTTGCGGTCTCGATTCTCGATTTACGACCTCAGCGGTCTCAACTCTCGATTTTTGACCTCAGCGGTCTCGACTCTCGGTTTTAGACCTCTTGCGGTCTCGATTCTCGATTTTCGACTTCAACGATCTCGACTCTCGATTTTCGACCTCAGCGGTCTCGATTCTCGATTTTTGACCTCAGCGGTCTTTATTCTCGGTTTTCGACCTCAGCGGTCTAGATTCTCGGTTTTCAACCTCAACGGTCTCTCGACTCTCAGTTTTCGATCTCAACGGTCTCGGTTATCAGTTTTCGACCTCAATGGTCTCTCGCTCTCGGTTTTCGACCTCAGCGGTCTCGATTCTCGACTTTCGACCTCAGCGGTCTCGGTCCTTGGTTTTTGACCTCAACGGTCTCTCGATTTTCAGTTTTCGACCTCTGCGGTCTCGACTCTTGGTTTTCGACCCCGACATCAGATCATTTGGTTTCCGACCTCCGTGGTCTTTCGGTTTTCGATCTTGAGATCCCAAAGCTCATTTGGAGGATATTTCAGTGATTATTCAATGGTCATTCGACTTTCGATGCTCGATCTTAGTGGCAAGTTGAAGAAAACAACTCGAAGAGGCATTTCACTCTTGGATCGAGTTATGCTTACTCGACCAGAGTGGGGGGGACTAGATGATATAGGATATTATACTGGACCTGGTTTAATGGATAAAGCGGATACATATTGGAAGATAAGCCCACTAAGACATCTAAGCCCAACTTGGGCCCAAAAGGTACACTTCCTCTATAAAAGGGGGCCAAGGTACCTCATTATCTCACTCTCTATTTCATTCCATACTACACACTTTCTCTCTCTTGATCTGAGCACTGACTTAGGCATCAGAGGCCGGACGCTGGGGCCACCCCCGGCGTTGGGTTCTGCAGGTACGAAGGCCGGTTCGAGTTGAAGGAGCCCAGGTGAATCTTATTCACTTCAAAGTTTTATAATTATACTTATTATGCACACATGTTTTTAAATGAAATGATAAAATATCACCACTAATTATTTTATGTAATCACTTTAAATCAAAAATTTGAATAAAATTAAAATAACATTTATTTTGAAATGAATATAATATAAGTTATAATTAGTTACATGCATCGTACGAGTTGTGTACTAAATTTAAATAAACATGTTTTATGTAATTTTGCACAATTTAAATTTTATATAGCATTTCAATGAATTTAGATGGGTAGATTATATGACATATTAATTTTATTTTTTTAATTCATAAATATTATCTAACTAGTACAACGTCCGTGTATTGCACGGGTGTTTGCTAATTTTTTTCTTAAAATTTAAAATTAATGAGAAAAAATAGTTGAAAATTTAAATACTTTTTATAAAAATATATATTATTATATATTCAGTATGACATCTTTTATTTGTACGACTTACATGTGTCAATATTATAAAAAAAAATTAACTTACAACATATAACTACATTGAACACAAATATATCAATTAATAAATAATTTTATTTTTCTAATAAATTTTAGTAGATATTATTTTTTTTATTATTATAAAAATAAATATAAATATTTTATTTCATATATACAATATTGATGTCAAATCGAAGATCATAAAAAGATGATTAATTTGATATATTATATATGTAAAACCGATAAGAAATACAAAAGTTTATCATCTTTTAAAATATATTTACAAATCAGTAGCTAATTGTGGAAGCAAATCAAAAGTCAGGGATATATTAGTCACTTAGTGCCTCACTATGTAAAATTACAAAGAATTAAAGAGTTATATTAGTAAAAGTGATATTAAAATACCTAAGTTAACTAAATAATATTTAGGCAAAATTGCATATAAAAGCACCACCTTTCATGTTTTTGCAATTTAATCACCACCTTTGCAATTTAGCAATTTAATACACCACTTTAGTTATTTCTTGCAATTCGAATCACAGGGCCCAATTTCGGGCCTGTTCTGATGACGTGGCATTTTTGTCGTGACGTGGTGTTTCCACATGTCAATGACGTGGCATCTTTGGGCTGACGTGGCAGTTTATTTCGAATCACAGGGCCCAATTTTGGGCCTGTTCTGATGACGTGGCATTTTTGTCGTGACGTGGTGTTTCCACATGTCAATGACGTGGCATCTTTGGGCTGGCGTGGCAGTTTATTTCAATTGAAAAAAAAAATATGTATGCCTTTACAGTAGGAGAATTCGAACCCTGGCCTCCAAAGGAGAAAGATAGCTATGCTACCAACTCGCTCATCCATGTTAGTTAACATATTCAATAACAATTTATATATATAGGAATTACGTATGAATAAATCATATTAAATTTAGAATAATTAATTATATTATATTAAATTAATTAAATATAAAATTATAATAAATTAAATTAAATGAAAATAAAATAAATTAAGATAATTAAAATACAAAATTTTATTAATTCATATTTTGTGTTAGAGTATATTATTTCATAATAAGTTATTTTGTTTATTATTTTATTATATTTTATTTGAATTCACTTTTTTTATACTTTATCATCTTATGTTATATTATTTTTATTATATTTTAATAAATATAACTTATTATGAAATAATAAATAAAAATCTTAAATAAATATATAAATTAAAAAATATAATTTAAGTAAATAAAATGTTAAATTATCGTAAATGAATAATAAAACAAAAGTGTTATTTGTATATAAAATAAAAATATTAAAAATCTTAAAAGAATAATAATTTATTATATAATAATAATTTATTATATTTAAATTTATTTTAAATAAATAAATAAAAATATTAAATAAATATAATATTATTAATACGATTCACTCTAACATAAAATATGAATTCAAAAAAATACATTTTAATTATCTTATTATATTATTTTTAATTCAATTTTATATAATTTAATTTAATATAATTAAATTATCTTTTTGATTTAATTTGATTTAATATAATTAAATTATCTTTTAGATTTAATTTGATTTCTTCATACGTAATGTGTATATATATAAAAGGTTACTATATTTAACAACTAAGTTGGACTGGTATGGTGGTAGCAAAGGTTGCCCTTCGACCCTTTTAACCCAGGATCGAATCCCATATAGGGCGTGCAACATATTTTTTTTTTAATTAACACATGGGTCGCCATGTCAGCGCAAAAATGCAATGTAATTGACACGTGGAATGTCATGTCAGCAAAAAAAATCCATATCAGCAGAACGAGCCGCCACGTCAGCAGAACAGGCCCGAAGTTGGGCCCTGTGATTCAAATTGCAAAAAAAAAAACTAAAGTGGTGTATTAAATTGCTAAATTGCAAATGTGGTGATTAAATTGCAAAAAATGAAAGGGTGTGCATTTATATGCAATTTTGCCTAATATTTATATAATGTCTGAACCTATATTATTAATTATATTAAGATATCAATATTATTGTCCAAGCCTATTTTTAACTTATAAATATTACTACCTCCTATTCCTTTTAAATGTCATTTTAACGTTATCAACTATTAATCAAATAAATGTCATTTTAGATCTTTTGTACATGTTTTTTCCATTATTACCCTCATTTAGTCAATAATTACACAACGTCTTTTCATATTTTTTCTCTTCATTTTTTTCAAAATATTTATTTTTATCTTCATTAAATAGGGTTATTATTGACAATAAAAATATTCTTAATTATTGTGCAACTTCTCAAAACGATATTTATTTTGAATAGGAGGGAGTAATAAATATCTATTTTATATGACATTGTCCAAATAGTTTAGTTAAAATTTATAACTTCAAACAAAAAAGAAGAGGCGAAGTGAACAAAAGGCACGCACGACCAGAAACTGTCCGGCGATTCTCGCAACCTCACCTGTGTCTTGCGCCGACCACTCTACTGCCACCGGACCGCCGCTATCATCGCCGGCATCCCCATAACAGGTAACTCACCTCTGGGAAAGCGGGTCTGGCTGTTTCACCTTATTTTTGGGAAGCCCATGTCCCGGTCGACATCTTTAGCCTCGTTTATTTATGATTGGATCCGCTTTTGCAAAATCCCATTTTTCTGTCTCGAATTCCGTCATTCTTTCGCTCGCCTGAAAATGCGTATCATCTGCGTTGCGGTAGATTTCTAAATTTGTTTAAATTTATCACGTAATTCGTTTTCAAGGTTTTATTTTTGTGAATTTTTTACGAACAGATAATTGACAAAATATGGGGAATGTCTTTGTGAAGAAACCGAAGATCACGGAAGTTGACAGAGCCATTCTCTCCCTCAAAACTCAAAGGCGTAAGCTTGCTCAATACCAGCAGCAGGTGAATTTTTTTTTTTTTGTTCTCTTTGTTGTGAATTATTTTTTATTGAGACGTTTGGGTTTGGGGTTTTGGTAGTTAATCTTAAGTTGAGACTTATGGGTTTTGTGGAGTTCTTGAATTTCGATCCATTTTCGATGTAAAGATTGAATCTTTCCGAAATCATGCATTATGATCAATCAGGTGAATGACAATGGAAAACAAGGGTGTCACTCTTTTTTTCACCACTTCTTATTTGGTGTTTCAATTTTGATTAATTTCTTATCAAAGACATACTTCATGT